TATGTCTGTAGACATTTTTTGGCCAAAAGACTGCATCTCTGGCGAAACGGAGACTGTATTTGGCTCCTCTATGGGATTGTGGGATTTTATTCAGCGTGCTTGGTCGTGAAGAGGCAGGAACGATTGCACGGATAGTCTTGAGAAGAAGACCATCTTCTAGACTAAGGTCCTCTCTATGCCTAGAGTTCTAGGAGGATTTGCTGTTTACTTTGTCGCCAACTGTAGAGAATGTATTACGTCAGCTGTTTCATGTCTTGGCAGGATGCAGTGGCTCTGTGTAGTTGTTCATGAGTGGATTCCATAAGGGCTGGTGAGACTGGGTCCAGGTGAGCAAGATGGAGACGGAAGACTTGGAAGGTATCAGGTACCATAGGAGCTGCAGCTAAGTCCTGGCAGGGGGCCCTTGACAGGGTATCCGCTAAATGTAATGAACCTTTTCTGTACATCACATTGAAGTTGTAGCGCTGTAGGAAAAGCATCATCTTTAGCAGCCGTTTTGGTGCTGAAGCAAGGTCCTTTTGAAAGATTGATTGAAGGGGTTGATGGTCAGTGTGTGCAGTGATGTTGGATTTTTCAAGGAGCCACTGGTCAAATTTGTCAAAAGCTTCAATGATCGCAAGGCATTCGTTCTTGGCTTGGTCGTAGCGCTGTTCTGTGGGGTTAAGGCTTTTGGAACTGTACGTGATAGGATGTAATGAAGAATCGTCAAAGGTCCCATCACTGTGTTGCGTGCTTGGCTGTAGGATTGTGGCCCCTAAACCATAGGCTGATGTGTCCACTTGGAGGACCACAGGCGCATTAACATTGTAGTATGCCAGGCAGGGTGTGGCTGTGCACAGGATGAAATAATAGAATTAATTTGTTTTAAAGCTTACCTTAGGATACCCAAAAGAAGAATCTAAAGTATCTGTAATATATTTACTAAAGACATGAAATACACCTTTCAGAGACTTTAAGGTGAAAATTAAAGGCTAACTTATGAACCATTTCATAACCGCTTTAATTTAAGAAGAAACGTAACTGAAAGGTTCATTTCATAAACTTTAGGAACTACTCCTAAAGCGTTCTAAAGTAACATTTAATTAGTCTTTTGTGTCAAATTTAGTATAGGTTTAATTTTTCAAAAATGCGTGGTGGTATATCTTTGCTTTGCCTTTAATGCTACTTTAATGTCCTGTTTAAGACTCATGTCATCTTTAGTTTGCCTTTAATTCTATTTTAATGTTGTATAAAAGCCTCAAATTAACTTTAATTTGCCTTTAATACTATTTAATTGTTTCAGAAAAGCCATATGTCATCTTTAATTTGCCTTTAATTCTATTGTAAAGTTTTATAAAAGCCCCAGGTCATCTTTAATTGTTTTTAATTCTATTGTAATGTTTGACAAAGGCACCAAATCATCTTTAATTTGCCTTTAATTCCATTTTAATTTTTCATAATACCCTGCATTCGTCATCTTTAATGTGCCTTCAATTCGATCTATTTTAATGTTCAATGAAAGCCCCAGGAAAAGAAATAAGATAAAGGGATTAAAACTGGGGTATCTCAGCTTGTCGGAGAAACAATTATAACTTGAACACTGGAATCCATGACTGCATGGTTCCTCTTCAAGAAAAACATGAATACAGTGAAACAAAATCTACTTTGAAATCAGTTTATTCTCAATAATGTCTAATTCTTATATTTTGAAATTATTTACTGCCTACTCTTATGTGGAAACTATTTTATGGTGAAAAAAAATAGACAATGGACCACGAATTCAAAGAGTTAAAAATACATCTTTTTCAATTGATGATCATTGATTGTATGAAGTAAATTCACAACACTGCTCATTGCCAACTTATGAAGATAGTCTTGCGAATGACACAGATGAAGTGGTCGATGTATCAAGATCAGATGCTGGAGCATTAAGAGCCTATTCAGGAATTTCAGAGGGGTCACGTTCTGACGGCTCCTTTGGTACAGTTCTAAGCACAATCCTGTCACGTGCCCACTTAGACAGCCTCTTGTTACATTTTTTATCAAGCCGCTTCTTTATTTTTCGCAGAGCTGTACTCTCTCAAGGGAGCTTTTTGATCTTGAAACTGGTTAGTGTCTGCTTGCCATCTTTGTAAGCTTCATAACAGCTATCCTCACTGCCCATTGTCTCCATCAGGAGGACCTCTGCTGCACTTCCTTTCTTATGGTTGTCGGCCCATTTCACCATTTCAAGGGCAGCTGTCCTCCTTGTTAACTTCTAAAAGAAAGAAACAGAAATAAGAGTAGCTGGTGGGCCAGAACTCATTACAATACGATCCAACTGATTCCACTAATGGATACTTAACAAAAGAGTATAATTAGATAAACAATATCCAGAGTAATCTCTCTTATTATTTTGTATATCACAAAAATTAGATCTTACAATAAATTGTTTTTTCAATGAAAAGATATGGCCAGTAGATATGTTATTTACTACCTTTTCACAGATAACAAGCCACGTAAAGCAACTAAGTATCCAAGGTCTACGTCAGGTTACTCTAAGAAATCATGCAACGTGGAGATGTGCATGACATGATTAGTAGAGACCTTGACATGATCATTGCATAATCTGATTCCGAAAATGGACTGTATGCTTTTGGCCAATCAGAAAAGAGATAGTGAGTTCAAGGTAACATAGCCCATGTAAGCAGACACCTGTTCCTGTAAGTGCAGCACTGAATTGCAGTTTTATAACTGCACTTCACTAATAAATGAATAAGTGGGTATAAGTTAATATCAAAATGAAAATGCCTTTATGAAATGATGAATGTTAATGAATCATCAAGCATTCCTATTTCTTTTTATTTTTTATTTTATTTTATTTGCCGCACAATAATTACAAAAAATATGGGAAAAGAAGAAAAAAAGAAGTGGCGAGGAGACCTAACAGAAACTATAGGAGCTTATGAGAGGTTAGCCTCCTCGAACTATGAGCTAGAGCTGTTTCACATCAATTGAAGAAAAGAAGGCGAAAAGTCGAAGGAAAGATTTACGAACTGTTTACATACTTACTCAATAATTTAATCTTCCGTTTTTTCTTAAAAGAGGAGAGGGATTGAGAGTTGATGACCTTGTTGTCAAGTGAATTAAAAAACTTAGCCCCTTGAAAAAAGGGCGAGAACTTCTTCGTGTTTGTACGACACTACGGTAGATGCTAGGCCTGGGAATTTCTTGTATTGTAAGAGTGGAATTGATTGCTTTGGGAGAAATTGTTATTTAACTTTGGAGGTAAGAATGAATTTTTGCAAGAATACATAAATTGGTCCAGTTGAAGCAAATGGATATCACTAAATTTTAGTATACCGAGGTCCTTAAAGATGGGTTCAGTATGGGCATTGAAATGTGATTTATTAATAATTCTAATAATGCGCTTTTGCAGGATAACAAGGTGGCGGAGATTGGTTTTATAGGTCGAAGCCCAAACGATATTGCAGTAGTAATATAAGGATAAATTAAGGAATAGTAGAGCATATGTAAAGACGATTTAGGAAGAAAGGAGCTTCTAGATATTATACCGATTGACTTCGCAACTTACTTGCAACGTGTGATATTTCCGACTTCCGATTTAGGTTTTCATCCTAAATTACGCCTAGAAAATTTGTCTCCTTTACTTCAACTATATTTTTATTATTTATACTTATTTGAATGTTACAAAATGAACGCTTTTGTCTTGTTTTAAAGACCATAAATTTTTGTCTTTTTAAGATTTAGAGAAAGCTTGTTTGCTTTAAACGAGATTGACAGTTTGTCCATCTCCAAGTTTAACATATCTGAGAGATAGTTCAGATCTTTATGTGACATGAATACATTGGTATCGTCAGCAAGCAATATCAGATTTAATAGGTTAGAAGCATTGTTAATTGTTAATGTACAGTAAGAAAAATAGAGTTCTGAGGATAGAACCCTGAGGGACCCACAAGAGATTTCATTTCTTAACGAACGGTGGCCATTATATTCAACATATTGTTTTCTGTTTGAAAAGTAACTTCTTATCCAGTCCAGCGCTAAGCCACGAATACCGTAACGTTCGAGTTTATCAAAAAGGATGATATGATTTACAGTGTCAAAGGCTTTTCAGAGGTCAAGAAAAATACCTACGGAAAATTCACCTCGGTCAAAGGCCATGGAGATCTTATTATGCAAGTCGATTAGCGAGAGTGCAGTGGAATGACTTTTCCTGGAGCCATATTGGTTACTACAGAGGATGTTGAAATTCATCAGATATTGCATTAAACGATTGTAGATAACTCTTTCAAAGAATTTTGAAAAGCTGGGAAGCACTGAGATAGGTTGGTAGTTAGTGAAAAGCGACTGATCATCAGATTTAAAAATAGGTATCACGCGAACGATTTTCTTCTCATCAGGAACAATACCATGCTGGATTGACAAGTTTATGATATGGGTGAGTGGTTCAGAAACAAGTAGAATGGATTCCTTAATGACTGTCATTGGAATCTGGTCGTAGCCAGCTGCTTTGCCTGGAAGAAAAGTTTTTGCAATCTCAGCGATCTCATCTTGAGTTGTAGGGTTGAAGAATATTGACTGTGTAAAGGAACCATTAAGAAAACTACGGTGTGAAGCTGACAGCTGTATACCCCTTGCTAAATTAGGACCAATGCTTGAAAAATAACTACAAAACTTGTTGGCAATTTCGACAGGATCAGTAATTTCACGATCATCGGCTTTAAATGTTGAGGATCTATTGGAATTTCTTTTGCTTCTGTTTAGAATTTCATTTAAAACTTTCCAAGTAGCACGAGTATTAGATTGAACGTTATTCAATTTCTTCTCGTAGTATAGACGTTTTGCTTTCCGCAGAGAATGATTTAATTTGTTTTTATAACTTTTGTAAATTGATTGACGATCCACTGTTGGATTTCACAGATATTTTTTATAATGCCTATTTTTCTTCTTAATACACTTAATAAGCGAATTGGATAGCCACAGCTTATTTAAACGGGACTGTTTTCTAGTTAATTTATTTATAGGGAAGCACACATTATAACTTTCAGAATACTATTAACGTTTTTGGGGTCATGATAACCATCAAGGGAGGACCAGGTAATTTCTTTTAGCATTTCGAGAAAACTCGCTAAGTTTTCTTTATTATTGTCTCGAATGACCACAGGGTCATGAGCGTGGCTGTTGGAAGAGTCATTATTTGAATGAATCGAAAAAACAGGTAAGTGATCAGAGATATCGGTAATCAATAAACAACTTCTCGAGTGATAAAAAAATGTGTTTGCAAAACTGTTATCTAGCAATGTTACGGTGTGAGAAGTTATTCGGGTGGCACGTGTTATCATGGCAAAAAACATATACGAGTGCAAGCCATCAAGGAATTCGCCAGTGTTTTGGTGATGTTGAAAGTTAGTTAAATTCAAATTGAAATCACCCATAATAAAACATATTTTGTTCTCTCTAGAGAACATATTTCAATATGTTTTTAATTATTATTATCCATCCATTATCATCGCATGTGCTGCGCCTGCAACCACAGTTCCCAATGAATCTGGTCCAAGGGGAAAAGAGTTTTTTGCCTCAAAAAGCGAAAGTTTTCATCGTAATGACGCCAATGGGCGTTCTTAGTCGCTAGGTCCTGCACTGTCTCGGAATATTTCATTAAAGCTGGGGCGTGATCAGACCGTATAAATAGCTACAAATGTTTGAAAGGCTGATATCCATTGGTCTATAGTGGCAATTCTCTTAGGTTTCTGTGCTGGCTCGAGGCTAATGACCGGCCAATCTTAAGAGTGTTGCATTTGAACAACAAAATTGTACTGTGACTGGTTTGGGGATGCTATTTGTAATAGGGTTCCTAAATCAATATACTCGTTTGCCCAAATTTTTGATTGAATTTTATCAGACACTCTGGAGGCGAGAGTTACAGCGATTTGTTGATGAATCAGCTGGGGCCGGTCATTAGACTGAGCTATGCAATTTATTGGTAGCGGGCTGGTACTTATAGTCGAAGGGTTCGTAAGAGGAGGTCTCTCACCGGTAATGTCCTGAATTACGACCGCTACTGACCCCTGTACAGAAGCAGCTGGAGTGGCGTTCGAACCATCTGGCTCCTTCTGAGCTTGAGGAAGTATGTCGGCTCCTTGAAGTCCTCCTAGCACGGCTTTGGAGACTATAGCAGCGATGTCCACCGGGGCAGGGGCTGTGTCGTTGCCGGCAATTGGAACAGTGACCAATTGTGAGGGATGTTCCGAGGCGGGTGGACGGCTGTCCGTATTAGGAACTGTGGCCTGGGCAGCTGATTTTGACCTCCTTGCTTTGTGAGATTCTTGCGTGCCCCGGGCAGCACGCTTCTGTGGGCGTGGTGCAGGAGGTACAGTAGGGGCAGCACGAGATTGCCGACGAGTCATCATATTGACTGGAAAACAAAAACAGCTTATGTGTAGCGAGGAAAGTAACCCGTGGATGCCAACCACAAAAATTACTGGTATGTGCGCGTTGGCTAAAGAAACCACTTATGCTTAGCAGGTCCATACCCCACTTTTGATCACGTAACAAAACAGAAGAAAAACGAAAAATAAATAAAATTAAATACAAAATAATAATACAAAGAATGGTTCCAGCGAACCGTAATATATAAGAAAAATGGTAACATGTTTGGCAAGCCCAAATAATTATAGCTGCCGCAAGGAACATGCTTAGGTGCTGCAAAGCTTAGGAACTCATAGAGTTCTCAGTAAACATATACAAACATGTCTATTTAGACATGTAAGACAAAAGAAAGTGTGGGTGTAAAAAAGAACCTAATTTAAGCTGGGAGCGCGACCCGCCGCGGGAAGGCAACTGAGCTTAATAGCGGATAGAATAGCGCCCCTGTAACTCCGATAGAGAGCATATTGCTTTTTGGCATTAAGGTGTACCCCGTGTCTGCATAAAATGCGAACGGTGGGTTGTCGAAGTCCTTTGTGACGCCAGAAAACAGCAAAAGGTAGGGTCTCCAGCACCACGCTGAGATATGAGAAGGGCCACACGATCGTTGAAGGAGGGTGGATCCCTCAAACCTGCAGCGCGGTTAATGGTCTGACAAACTACTATCGTTTCAACTCGGCATTCAGCGTGTAAACGCTGAACAAGGGTCTCGATCTTCAAACCTACCACCTCGGGCCTAGCGTCCGGTGGGGAAAGGTCGTTGGAACCTATGTCCAAAATCACAATTTCGGGTTGTAGGCGCCTTACTAAATGTAAATCAAATTTAGATAGCTTGTCGACAGTGCGACCGCCAACTCCGAGAAAAGTTATCTGCACGGAATGGGACAAGTTAAGATCCTGTCGTACCCTTGCATCTACGCCTTTAGGCAAAAATAATTCAAAACGACGCACAAAGGAGTGGCCCATAATGAGAACATAGGGTTTAGGAGACATGACTAACTTAAAAAAACAACAAGAAGAGATACTCAACTCTGGAAGTGAAGGATAGAGGTTTTGCGGCTGTCAAATTCGCAAAGCTTTTTACGTCGAGAGACCAAGACGAAGACTTTGGGGAACACAGCTTGTCTTATACCCTAACCTTAAATGACGTCGAGGCTAAGTACTTTTCCGAACGAGCTCGTGACTGGTAGTTTTACAGCAAGTAATATTCCGGCAAGTAATTTACCAGCTAGTGATTTCCCGGCTAGTAATTTTCCGATTGATCTCGTGATAATCGTGTCATCAATACTTGACTATTTTGTGTCAAATTGGACCCTGCTCACAGTTCTTCCCTGCCGATTACCTATGTTAAAGGTGAATGCGTGACTAGTAATAAGTGCCCCTCTTAACAAACTAACATAAATCATTGCGTGACTAGGTGACATAAACATTTTTATTTGCAGGCAAATAAATTCCTTTACTCCTTTTCCCGTCGCAAACAATTCAAAAGCTCGAAGCCATCTTTCCCAGCGTGCGGAAATACCAGCAGTTTCTGGACAGCCAAACGGCTTTAATCCGTGTGCATTGCTTAAATATACACTTGCCATCTCGTATAAATTTCTTCAAATGACCGTCCTCGTCGCCAAAATGTAGTGTCTTATGGATTTAACCAAGGACTGAATCAGATTTAACCACCAACACACGCACCATTGCTGCTCGTGCAAACATGTGTATTCAATCATCATAACAGTCAGAGCACATGCTCTATTATACAAACATGGGGGGGGGGACGGTATACCTAAATATTCACATATACTACACTGGGTAAAATAAATAGAAATCAATGAATTTTGATAGATTTTGTTTTAACTTTCATAGCATCTGCAGTTAAGAGAAATATGCTCATTGAAAAACCAGTGGTGGTCACCGATCTGTAGCTGTCACATTTAGATAGGCTTAATTCTTTTCCATTTAATCTTTGCAAATGCTACCAACTCAGTAGTGCCACTGGATTGTGTTCTATCTGTGAAATCACTTCTTCAAAACTAGAATACTGTTTGAGTATACATGTAGAGTTAGCAGTATACTTGTGGAGTTGGATGGCTTGTGATTAATTGATCACAAAATTTAATGTGTTGTTATGTGGGTACAAAGGCTGATAATTTACAGAATCCAAGTTCAAGAGTTCTTTAAGAAAGTTGAACTGCTTTTTTATATCATTCTGTAATCATTTTTGTGCTGGCCCCACAAATAATTTGCGCGCGCGTGTTTATCTTCTTTTGTAGTGCGTGTAAATTTTCCAATTTGTTCGTTATCGTGTAATAATGGTGTGTAATGCTTGTAACGGCCATTCACCCTTATAAAGCCCGTTTAACATGGTCGAAATATAGGTGAGAGACGAAAAACATATCGTTTTACTCTTCACTTGTGGTACTGTATATATATATATGTATACCTTGATTTTTGAAAACCGGGTAAGAAAAAAATCAATTCATTGTACTGCTTGGCAATTTAAAACAATAAAGCATCACTCAAAGGCCGATTTAAAGCCTTTATCTGACGCCAGGCAATAAGTTAGTGGTTACTAGAAGCATTTCAGTGAGTCCAAATTTAAAATGACACAAATTTTAGAACACTTATTCAGTAATCCGACTCCGTGAAGTTTCAAACTGGTGTCACTTCAGTCCAGAAATTTTACAGTTGAGTGAACAGGGAGCAGAGAAAGGGTGCTTGGTTAAAGCTTACATAACAACTTAAATAGTTATCAAAACACTACTTTTTTCGCGGTGCAATAAACGACAGGGTTGTAATAAATCAAGACAAGAGTCATCGTAATAGTCACGACCGTGTTTACTCAAACTTCACTCTTTTCTGACCACGAGGTCCTAGTCCTAGTTTTACATCATGTAATACGACACGAAATGTCCTCTACTCTACACTATCCCCCCTCTAATTAAAAGGGTGAGTCTCCGGATTCACGGACAACACTTGAAAGTGTAACAGTGTCAAGGTAACCAGTCCAGTTCACAAGCAAAGGAAAGAAAACTAATACAAAAAAAAAACTGTCCATAACAAATCATAGTCTCAATATCCTCTTAGTGCTCGAGCCTTCTTTAACAATTTCAGTCTCAGTTTCTTAATCCGATCTTTTTCCATGGTCTGCTTGTCCTCCAGCATTTGTACGCGATCTACAATTTGCTGTAGACTACTGATAACCCACTCTCCATAACGGTCTGGGGGTCTTCTCACTCGCACCGGTCTTCGATTCTGGAGAGTAGGCTCCGGTTCCAGTCCTTCACCTTCATGTTCACTCCCTTCCTCCTCGCCACTGAGGTCAGGTGGGTCAGATTGAGTTGGTTTGCTTGTAGCATCTAGGGTATCTACAAGGGGGCCACCGTCCTTAGTGTCTGGCGTTTCCACTGAAGGATCACTTCTAACATCCCTTTCCGCCCCGCTGGGCTGGACGTCATCCGACTGACAACCACTAATCTCTGGCGTATCGGGTTGTTGGCTTGACAGTCCAGGATCACCTTCCAACAACTCACTCTCTTCTTCAACTGCACTCATTGCCACCCCAACAACTGTCCCATCTTCTTCTCCCGGCATCGACTGTGCATGTCCTTCTTCAACAGTCTCCACTGCAGGTGCAGTGCCCAAACCACCAGTAACTACTTCACCCACTGCCTTCTCCTGTTTTCTCTGGTACAACCTCAAGTTGTTGAAATGGACTACCTTGGACCTCCTAGAACGTCCTGCAACTTTTCTAACACAGTACGTAACTTCGGTGACTTGTGATACGATCTCGAACGGACCATCCCACTGTCGGTGAAACTTGCTTGCTTCACCTGGCCTTAGCTGTGGGGTGTAGCGCAGGACTAAATCTCCAGGTTGATAGACCGTGTGCTTCACTCCCTTGTCGTAAGCATCTTTCTGGCGTCGCTGAGCAACCTTCAGATTCTCCCGTACATCCCGGTATGCACTTTCTAAATCCTCCTGTAGATTAGCTACAAATTCAGTGTACGAGCACTCACTGTCCTTAACCCAACCCATCATCACGTCCAAGGGTATCCTCATCTCTCTTCCGAACATCAGTTCAAATGGAGTGTGCCCTGTGGAGGCATGGATGCTACTCCGGTAGGCCATCATGCAATAATCCAGGTGTTCATCCCAGCTCTGAGGTTTACCTCCAACTTTAGCTTTCAACATGCTCTTAAGGGTCTTGTGTAGGTTCTCAATTTGCCCGTTGCCCTCTGGATGGTAAGCAGTTGACCGCGTTTTGTTGATCTCTAGCAAGTGGCACATCTCTTCAAAAACCTTCGACTCAAAGTTACGCCCCTGATCACTGTGGATGCTGTCGGGTACACCGAATCTGCAAATCCAGTTCCTCACAAGCACCTTTGCACAAGTTGTGGCACGTTGGTTAGGAATTGCAAACGCTTCAGCCCACTTGGTGAAACTGCACTGCACGGTTAAAATGTAGCGATTTCCTCTTCGTGTCCGAGGTAATGGTCCAACTATGTCAATGTGGATCCTTTGCATGGGATTTCCAGTGGCCAATGGCTGCAGAGGTGCTCTTGGCTTTGGTCTAGACTTGCACTTGGCACAGGTAAGGCAACCATCGCAGTACCGATGCACGTCCTTTGTCAAGCCCGGCTTCCAAAATCTCGCACTCATTTTCTTCAGGGTCTTCATTCTCCCCAAATGGGCACCTGCAGGACCACCATGAACTTCAGTAAGCGCTGGCCTAACCAGGCTTTGTGGCAAAACTATCCGTTGCTTAGTTGGAGAGGTGTCTGTAGGCGACTGAAGATAGAGCACTCCTCCCTTCAGCTGCAACAGGTCAAGTTGCGCCCATACTGCCCGAGTGGTTCGACTCATGGGCTGAAGTTCCTCAGTCGTCGGTTTCTTCCACTCTTGTGACAACTGCGCTACCACCGGGCCAATATCAGGGTCTTCTCTTTGTGCTTGTGCCACTGCTGCAGTTGACCATATATCCCTCCCCTCACACTGCTTATGAACCGTTGGCAACCCTGCCACAGCGGCTACCTGGGGTCGGGCTGACGGAACACACGATGGGCACTCTCCATGATGACGCCTTGGTCGCCGTGACAAGGCGTCTGCATTACCATGCTGTCTCCCCGGCCGGTGCTCAATTGTATAGTCGTATTCTTGCCGGCATTCCAGCCAGCGGGCCACTTGCCCTTGGGGCTCCTTGAAGGACATCAACCAGGTTAACGAGTGGTGGTCAGTTCGTAGGCAGAACCGCCGTCCAAGCAGATAATAACGGAAATGGTCAACATAGGTGACTAAAGCTAACATCTCCAACCGAGTAGTGCAATAATTTCTTTCATGTTCGTTCAAAGAGCGACTCCCGTATGCAATTACTCGTTCTGTCCCATCAGGTTGCAGCTGAGATAAGACTGCCCCGATTCCCAAATGTTGGCTAGCATCTGTGTCCAGTATGAATGACCCTGCACCGGCGTTAAAATCTGGATAGGCTAGGACTAGTGCACTGACTAATCGGTGTTTGAGCTCTTCAAAGGCAGATTGTTGCTCTTGTTGCCAATGAAAGGGCGTGTCCTTCCTACACAGTTTATAGAGTGGCTCCGCAATGATGGAGAATCCGGCAATAAACCGCCGATAATAACTAGCCAGACCGAGGAAGCTGTGAAGCTCTTTGACGTCCAGCGGTGTTGGCCAAGTTTCAACTGCTTTAACTTTCTCCGGATTCGTCCTTATTCCATCACCGGAAACAACATGACCCAGAAAGGTAACTTCGCTCTTCAGGAACTGACACTTGGTTGGCTTTAATTTCAAACCCGCTGCTTGTATTCTGTCAAAGAACAACCGTAGGCGGTGAAGATGTTCTTGAAATGTAGAGCCCCAGATGATAATGTCATCTAAGTACACAAGGCAATGTGTCCAAGTGAGTCCACTGAGTGCCAGATTCATCAATCTGGTGAAGCTTGCTGGCCCATTTGTCAAACCAAATGGCATAACCCTCCATTGAAATTGTCCACGATGAGTTGAAAACGCAGTTTTGGGTTTGTCCTCCTCCTTCACTGGCATCTGCCAATATCCAGAGGCCAAATCAAGGCACGAGAACCACTGAGCACCGCCCAGGGCCTCCAAGACATCATCAGTCCTAGGCAGCGAGATAGCATCTTTTTGTGTGTACTGGTTAAGTCTCCGAAAGTCAATACACATACGGTAAGTTCCATCATGTTTCCGGGCCAACACAACGGGGCCACTCCAGGGACTTTGGGACTGTTCAACCCTACCATTAGCTATGAGCTCATCCAGCTGTTGGTCAATGATTTCTCTTTGGTGAGGGGGAATACGGCGCGGTGGTTGCCTAATTGGTGTACAATCACCCGTATTAATTTCATGTTCCATGAGATCAGATTTCCCTAAATCCGAACTGTTCATAGCAAAAATGTCCTCATACTCTTTCACCAGAGACGAGAATTGTTCCTTTTGACCTTCTGAAAGCCCTTCCAGGTTTTGTTGTTCACAGATTGTCCTCCACTTTTCTCCCTCTCCTTTTGTCTGCTCACTCTTCCCCACTGTGCTGTCAATGGTCGAACAGAATGAATGTGGCCGAGAGTTACTTTTCGATTCTGAGTCAACTCCAATGGGAATTATACTACCATTCACGCTGCTAATAGGGTGATATTCGGCAATAGGAACATCTGACCGTATCTTGATTGGTCTATCCGAGAAGTTGGCAACTCGAACAAGGGCCTGTCCCGCCCTTGGAACCACAAGGGAACGAGCTATGCAAATTTCCGATTTTCCCTTTAGTTCCTTTGAGCCCTCCAAGATCCCAGGGCTTCCCGTATTTTGTTCATATCCTCTTCCAATCTAGCTCCTAGCACTTGTTCAGTCCCCGGCTCTACTTCTACTTCAGCACACAGATAAAGTCTACAAACACTAGGTGTGACCTTGCAGTATCTAATAGGAATTTCAGCATCTCCTACCACAAAGGTTCCCGTGTCATAGTGAATTTGACATCCATACTGCTGAAAAAAGTCTGAACCAAGAATACAATCATGTGCTAGACCTTGCGCAATCATGACAGGCCAGGAGCAATCCATGTTTCCTATGCGAAATCTCACTTGGGTTTCTCCTAAGACAGTCAGTTCATTGCCATTTGCTGTCGTTAATGTTCCTATCACTGGTTTAAGTTTAGAAACATATCCACTTTTCTTCCATGTGTCCTCGCTCAATACACTAACCGTAGCACCAGTGTCCAACAATACACAAGTTAAACAATGATTCACAAGTCCAGTAATATAGATCCCGGAATCAGATATGGCTGAAATTACACTGTCATTCGCGGTTGTATTGTAATTTACCTCACGGACATCACTGTCTGACAGGGCCACACGTACTGGTCCCACGGGACTGTCTGGCCCTTGGCAGGCCCCCGAGCTCCGTTTCCCGTTGTATTAGTCGGACAATCACGTGCAAAATGACCCTGTTTACGACAATTGTAACACACTACTTTGTTTCGGCGCCGTGGGGCTGTCACGGTTTTTGCTTCCGTTTTCATTTCCAGCTCACGAATTTTCTCATTCATGCCAAGAACTAATTCCTTGAGCTCGCATATTTCAGATGAAATCTTCTCACTATCAGCCGAGGCACCAATCACATTAACAGATTTCTTCTTCTCAACCGCAGGAGCTACGCGACAAGCCTTACGAGCACTTTCCAACTGGCGAACCACACGCACAGCTTCCACGAGCGAACTCGGCTGGCTCATAAAAACTCTCACGAATGTCATCACTAATTGCTACACCTTGAAGAAACTGGTCCCTTGCCAGTTCCACTTTAAACGAATAGGCCGCCTCTGGGTACGCATTTTCGACCAATTCCATCAAGCTATCCGCAAATCCATCGAAATCTTCATTTGGCTTTTGGCATCGTGCCCGCAACTGCAATTTGTAATCTTCTTTCGTCTTCCCCGAATCAAATCTTCGAGTCAACTGATCAGTAAATTCTTCGAACGGTAGCGATTCCGACAGCTTGAGCAGCTCAACAGCTTTGTAGGCCGGTTGGTCCAATAATGTAAGCAAATACGCTCGACGATCCACCGGTTTGATGTGCACGAGACTTGCGTATTGCATGAACTGCGAGAGCCACGTTTTGAAATTTTGGCCCACCGAATAAACGCGTGGAGCTCTTACGTTCCTCCTAACTTCGCTATGTTCGCTTGACGCCACCATACTCTGCTTTAGAGCTTGAGACAGGGTATTTACGAGCTGCTGCAGGTCACTGCCCCCTTCGTGTGGCTCTACTTTCGGTGGTTTCTTCTTTTGTTGTTGTTTCAGCACGGGTTCTGTCGATTCAAGTTTCGGTAACCCTCCTTCGGCGCCTGCGGACATTTCATCTAGTTTCGGTAACCCGCCTTCGGCTCCTGCTGGAGTTCCATCTTCTTCCATCTTTATATCCCAGTTCGTTGCCACCAATGTAATAAATCAAGGCAAGAGTCGTCGTAATAGTCACGACCGTGTTTACTCAAACTTCACTCTTTTCTGACCACGAGGTCCTAGTCCTAGTTTTATATCATGTAATACGACACGAAATGTCCTCTACTCTACAGGGTTTTACATGGAATAGACCAAACTGAAATGTGAAACATAGTACACAAATTATCACCTTATCTGTGAAAACTAGCCTTTTGTTTCAACGCCATTAGAGCCTGCTGAAACTAGACCGAGATCCAGTTTTCCTGAGTCGAGAGTTGCTTTTCCAAGGTACAATCATTAAACCTAAACACCGAAGAAACGCTTTTATGGCTGCACAGAATATTTTGGTGAAATAATTCAACCACGCGACCACCTACGTGTCAACACCATGCGGAAATCACACAATCACACACTTTCATGGCACTGATAAGACTCTCAACAATCTGACAAGTAACCCGTAAAAACTCAGCCTATTGGCAGATAAACACCCCTGAACTTTTCTGTTAAACTTGTCTTATTCAACTTCCTGGATGTACAATCACATGGTCGGCAGGTCAGCCTACACCTTGTTTTCATACCAGGAAAACGTCTTGGCCTCAGTCAAAGTTCACGTGCAATGTTGCTCTCACCTAATTCACTTGATTCCCAAGAGCCTAAAGGAGTCAGCTCAACAGTCGAATGTGCTTGATGTGAAGGAGGCTTGCCTGTAGATCGGAGTGTGAATGTTTGGTACCCAACTAACAGTTTACAAGACAATGAGACCATTGACTGTAGAGAAGTATACACGAACATTTATCTTAAACAAAATGTAACCTTTCTGATGTTGATGTATCTGTGTAAACTTGTTATTATCAAGAAAATTTTCAATTATTTTCCAATTATTAGGTGCCATGTTCACGAATTAGTATGAATGTTGACAGTGAGTGACTGTGCACAAAAAAATTATCAATTAGTACTATTTCTTTCAAAAGTGTTACATCATCAGAACTGCACACATGAACAACTTTATGTACTATTATTTAAATGTAAAATCAGGTTTCACTTGTCATTGAATCATAGCTAGATAACAAGAAGTTATGTAATTATCACAACTGCAACTATGTTGCATGTTACACTAACTCAACAAACTTGTAAACAGTGTAAACAAAGTGTGTCCACTGCCCTGCATATCTACGACCATGAGATTTCCACTCGAACGTTCATAAGACAAGTGAGCTAGACTTTCACATTTCTTCCAAATGTCAGAGTCTATGTCACAAGGTTTTCCTGTGTTGTTTAGGTACTTTGTAAATTCCCCGTCGATATATTCTTCAACAGTAACTCATTCATCACCTGACTCTATGGATTCTTCCCATGTATATTCTCTTGTAACTGAGGGTTGGCCCATAAAGTTCCAGGTCACCACCCTGTTCTAATTCCTGGCCAGCATGTGCATTTTCACGACCCTTTTTGTGTGCTGCTCAACTGTTTGCTTGATAATGGCAACTGCGGATGCTAAATACCTTCTTACTACCCACTGCTGACCGTGAAATTCTTGCATTTTACTTGTGGTCTTAAATGCTTAACGAAATCCTCCTTTGGCAAGGTTGAATTCTATGGTCAAAGTTAGGCTGGACCACACCATGTCAGTGAGATCAAACTTGAACTGCTCAATTCCTTCTTTGCGATTGTTAATAGATAACTGACATATCCCACCATCAACAAAGTGATCAATCTGAGAAACATTTCAGAGCCAAAGTCGAATCACACACAAGTTACTGTTAGACCTCATCTATGCATGTCGCTGTGTTGAAACTCCTTCTTTCATCTTCCCATCTTCAATGCACACCTCTAAGTTTCACTTTGAAAACCTGCCAATTTATTGCCGCTGCTTATAGAAAGAAAATCGTGTTCTGTTAGATTGCCTTGCAATTTCCCAGCAGACAGCTGTGCAAGGTAACGTATCTTATCGTCCTAAGCGCTACCTTTGACACCATTGTTTTATAATACAGTACTTAATTCCTCTACTGTAGGAATATTTAAAGCTTTAAGAATTCATAAAACTTTTATTAATTATAATGTCAGAAAAACAGTGAATTCCATTTTATTTAGACTTAGACCCTTGTGAAAGTGCTATTTAAATGTTTGAATTGGACAAATTGTTGATCAAAGTTTGAAGCCGACCAGAATCCCTGTGGGTACTCACTAAAATGGCTTATATGCGGAGGCTCCACCCGAAAGGGGTACCATTTTTAGGCTTCAAGTGTATGTGTTCAAGACGAGATTTGACGAGACAAACACGGGTGGACTGAAATGTGTGTTCTTCAGACAAACGCCGGCAAATTAGTTCTCTGCTGTACAGTAAATTACCGGGTTATATGATACAGCACCACCGAATTTAAAAGAGGAAATGCATTTTCTTTGCTTGCTAAAACGTTCTTTATTTCTTGTTTAACTACAGCTTTAAAAACTTTACCTTTTTGGCATAGATCTTATTTTAATATTGTAATATTTTAGCAGTGCCTGTTTATATTTTACGACTCAAAACTGTGCATTTCCAGCCCCACTCCCCCAATAAAAATCATTCCTGATGTATTTGTAGTCTTTTATTATTAAATGTAAGGATGTAAATAACTAGGTTTCATCTTCATAATGAATTATAGTTACGACTTGTGCGGTATTTTAGGAGGCATTCAAACGACTTATGATCAGTCTCGTTTCTATGCAGTGAAAGATGCAGCGGTCAACAGCTCCAACAAAGTGCAGTTTTTCGACATGTTGCCATGCTGGGATTTTTGGGGACTTTAAATATGTCATTAAACATGTTTCCATGAGAGGACCTGGCAGGCGTGATACAAGCTATCTCTCCGATTTGGATGAAACTTGGTCAGATTGAAGGACCCACCCAATAACTCTCAAAGACAAAGTGAGTCTGATTTCAAACTATTCTCTTGGGAGTTAGACCACCCCCCCACTTGGATTTTTGCCCTTAATCATCAAAATGTCAGGGAAATAAGCATCAAACTTAGACGCTGCTCCTGGTTACAAGATACGATACAACAACAAGTTTATGTCAAATTAAATATAGCTTACAAAGCTTGTACATGCAGTTAGCGAAAGGCTATTCGAGGTGGGTACAAGAGAAAAAAATTCTTTAAATATATATATATATATATATTAAACGAACAATCCTAGAAGCAATCTAGTTTGTCGTGAGGGAGAAATTGTTGACCAGCTGGGAAAGCTTCCTTCAAAGGAACAACAGCTCTCGAGAACACAACACTTTATTCTCAAAGCACATGCAGCCATCTTCGTTTTACACATACAATACGGCCGACGTGGAACACCGCTGACCCCTATGATACAACGACAGAATTGTTTCCTATCAACAAAATAAAAATAATAAAATAAATGAACATGAATTTTAATCCCCTTCGACACAAATAAAGGTAAATCCTATGTCAACTGATACCGGCAGTTTCAAGTCATCTGGAGAGACAGGTGCCAATCAAGGGACGTCAGTGCCCACCCATGTCACAAAAGATTATGAAATTAGAGAAAATAGCTCAAGTTTAGGTCCAAATATCTGAAAAATCCAACGTCCTTTTTTAAAACTGTTTTCACAACGATTTAGTCCTATCCTTAGATAAAATTACGAAGAAAAGTTTTGGCATCTCACATTTCTTGGCTTTAAAAGCTGGTCTGAGCCACGTGACTCGACAGCATCAGTTCTGAGACAAAACAAATTCATCGAAAATTAAATGTGACAAGATCCGTTTGTGAACGTTATTTGACGTGTAACGAAATAATTGGGTCTATGAATAATATTTGTACCACTTAGTCAAAGTGAAGCTCATGTTCATTGCAGTATCCCTTACACTGTTGGTATTAATAGCGCCCACATTGCACCCGTAATATCCTGATGAAGAAAATAGTGGTCAGGTATTTTATATACTAAATTATTACTGGTGGCCAGTGCTTGAAAATGTGATGGGAGCTGCCCCCTTTATACAAGACAACTCACATTTTTCTTGCCTGAAGCTCATTGGTTGCATGTCTATGATTTTCAGTTAATTAAATGATGACTTGGCTGGACCTTGCTTATTGGGTAATTGAGCATTAAAGTTACTTGATAGGGAAGAAAATCTATTTTTCCTGCTGTCAAGACAGCACTTTCCAAGCCCTAGTGGTTATTGCCTTGAAAACTCATATATTTACTTTCTTTGCAAAGCTGCATAATATTTTTCTTTTTCAAAGGAAATATGTCTGGCCAAGCCTCCATTTTGGTTGAGCAAAACAAAAATGTTGTCATTAAAGAATGTATTATGCCTCGTAGTAAATGTGTTCATTGTAGATGCCAAATTTGCATATATATGTAGACTGATTGCTGCAGTCAAGATGTGACTTCAGGATCAGGCATGGACTATTCTTTTGCATGTTTTTCGAGAATTGACTGTTATTTGCAGCTCTGCTTTGTGTTTAGCAACCTTGCTCTTTTATACTGTGATAACTTAATAGCTGCACGCTAAATTACCATTTCTTAAAAGGGAAATCGACACCAAACATTTGTGAATTACTGTAATAGAGAGGAGAAGTCGTTACGTCATGTTTCCATGGTAGTAGAATTTTTGGATGACAACCAACCGAAAATTTACTTTAAAAGTAAGTTTGCACTGTTTCAAACTTCGTCGATCTTATTCAATTTCATTGAATTTGTCAAATGCTGACGAAATTTCTGGGTTAAATCTGAAAGTACCGTATTTAAATTCTCAACTACTTCTTAAAGCAGGCCCGTGAAAGTAGGAAGTTTCATGTCACAGTCGTGCAACAATGGCTAAGAAATGTACAGAAAAGCGTGGCCGTAGCCGTTGCAAAACCTCCCTGTTGTTGTCATCCAGAAATTTTGCTACCATGGTAATGTGACGTCACACTTGTCCTCTCTACTGCAGATACTGTTCACACATATTGTTGTGAATCAGTTATGTTGAACTATTCTTCGATAAGGACTACTTCATTTGACTTTTTTTTCTGTTTAGGCTCCCTAAAGTTGGTAAGTGTAGAGTTGTTTTGGAGCCACTGACTCTTAGTTACTAGGGCTAACCGATCACAGGTGTGATGTTATACCTCTAAAAGGAAGACTTAATTGGGATCATGCTTTTTGTCTTTTTGACCAGCTCAAGGTGAAATGCAAGATGCTGGCCATACTATTTAATTCTAATGTAAGATTTTAAGGTAGATGAGGGTGAAAGAGAAAATAGGAATACATGTAAAAACTAATCCTGAATTTCATTCCTTGCCTCTTTTGCTTCATCTAACAGGTGCTGCTGTTTTGAAGGTTTCTGTTTGCTTGTGAAAACTTCTGCCAGTTCTGGAGATGCTGTTCCATTTTTCTCTTTGATGGAGTTGTCTAAAGAACTGGCTTCATTCTTAACGAGGTCCAGTACTTGTTTTCCAAGACCTAGAGACAAATGCAGCGGCAAACATGACAGTGAATGAAGAACAGGACCAGCTGTTTGGAAGATCGGTCTGCTTTCACAGTTATGGAGTTTGTTTGCTTTCGATTTCACAGAGCCACCATTCATGAACTTTTCATTATCGGAGCAGATAGATTGAAAATTTCGCTGTGAAAAGTCTGTTGATGTACCAGGATGTGTGCGGTTTGCCCTTTTCAAGATCTTTGATTGTGGGATGGCAAAAGTTGCAGAAGTAAGTACCGTTGGGTCCTGTCAGACCCAAGAACCTGGCAATAAATTCCCAGTCCCCTCCAAGACTCAACTAGCAGTTGGAAATACAACACTCCACTTTAGATGACATCCCATCACTGAAATTTTGTAGAGTTGTTGAACCTGTTGATTTCTTGCAATGGGAACAATGTTTGCCGTCATGCTGGTTTTGGTTGGTTCTAAGAAGCTGTTAAAGATCAGCTGGCCAACTTTGCCTCCCTTTGATGTTTGAATTTAAAAACGTTCTTTATCGCAGGACATTTTACTTTTCGGAAGCAACACCTTTAAGTCAGATGCAAGTTCCTTTACTGTTGTAATAACTGGACCGAAAAATTTCTCCATGCACTCATAACTGTCTTTGTCCCCTTCAAAAATTGCCAGTAGGCGGGCTGATCGGACAGAGTGTTATTCATTGCAGTTAAGAAATTACAAGAGTAATTTGGTAGACTTCCCTCCCTTATTATGTGGCTGAGTCTGTTTTTGCCATGCGATTGGTCAATTTGCGGTCCATAACTTGCTATACGGACCAAAATTTTTAAAGCAAATGCTCATTTCGGAGGTCTAAATCTCTTTACCTCGGAAAAAATGTTTGAATAAAGTTATAAGATGCCTGTCGTCCTTGAGGACTTGGATGCTGACTTTGGCTTTCAATATTTTAAACTGTGTTTATTTGTGAACGAAGGCGATGAAGAAAGTAACTCGTAATCTTATCGAAGAGGATTCTAGTCAGTGTTTGAAAATTTTATCGTAGTACACAGTTAAGAAGACGCAAATCGACTGGCAGAGATTCGAGATGTGCCTAAGAGAAAATGAGTAATTCCTTCAACAAATATGATAACAAACATACCTGCACCCGATCATCTTGACTAGCTTCTTTGCTATTTTGCACTGTTTTTTCAAAGACCAACGAAAGAAGATAGAAGCGAGTTTGAGCCAGACACAATAATGTCCAGTTTTCAAAAGACTAGCGTCACATTAACGAGTGAATACTTACAGTGCCCTTAGTTTTCACCGAATAAACTTTGAAATATGTATGTAAACCCTGAGGACTGGGATGTTGACTTTGCCTTTCCAAATTTTAACCTAGCTTTGTTTTAATGAGAACGAAGCTGTTGTAGAAACTGAATCGTAAGCTTACCGAGGAAGAGAATTGTAGTCAGTGTTTGAAAATTTTAACGCAGATCACAATTGAAGACGAGAATGAACTGGCAAAAAGAGAGATTCTTCCAAAAACAATTAACGAGCGAATCCTTTGACAATGACAACAAACTTACCTTGAAAAGCTTCTTTAGCTTTTGCAGTGTTTTTTTTTCACAAGGACAAATGGTGGAAAGATGGAAACGACTTCTAGACACAGTGTCTGGTTTCCAAAATACTCCAGCGTTATGTGAAAGAGCTAAAACTTACAGTGCTCTTAGTTTTGACCGAATAAACTTTCTTAACATGGCGAATTTGTTTTTACTTTCTCGGAAAGCCTTTGGTATGTGCTATTGTTTTCGTGCACCAATAAAAACTTTCTTTTTTGACACCTGTCAAATGACTGTCAAATCGCGCGTCCTGCACTTGTTTCCGGTCCCCCAAACAGGAAGAAGTCATATAATAAGCATCTTATTAGCCTCGTTTTTTCGGTTCGTTCTGTAAAATACGGATCCTCGTTTTTTCCATCGATTTATGGCCCACGCACTTCGCGCCTGGGCCATAAATCGATGGAAAAAAACTCAGTCCGTAATTTATCGTACGGACCGAAAACTCGGCTAATAAGAGGTATTTATCACTTGAGACAAGAATCTATAGAACATTGTCTGGAACATTGCTTTTCTTGACCAGCAGGCCACTTGCATTTAGTTGATGAACAGACTTTTTGATGGCATCTGCGATGTTGACCACTCTGAGAAAGGACACTGTCTTGCTTGAGGAACTTTTGAAATTACCACATTCATATTCAAACTTCATTGATTTCAGATGGTTCCGTATCTCCCTCTCTGGACCAAATATGTCATATCCTACAAATAGAAGAAGGTAACCGTAACAGAGTTATGTTGGGTCTGAAAGCCCAGGGCATTGTACATGCATTAAGTCCAGAAAAAAAATAATGAAGGATTGTATTAAGAGAAGCTCCAAGTGACTTCTGATCAGTTGCTTAATTCATATGAAACGGAAAATTTGAAATTAGATCAGAAGTCATTCATGGCCTTATTCCATGCACCTTTAAACTGTTTATGTCAGTTTTGGAGGGCCAGTTTGAAATATCTGAGATAATTTGTACTTATTTACAAACTTCACAGGGGGAATACGAAAAAATGGTCCCAAAATAAGTGAAGCAGACAGAAAAGTGCAAAGAGCCTATTTATTTGCAAATACATGTACTTTTAAGGCGTTCTAAAGTCCTGTGCCAGAAACTGAAAGCATTGTGTGAATGTTTCTGTGTCATTTTTTGTATCTGGGCTCCTGCACTGTGTATAGCCTGTCTGTGGCAGTTTTTGTAACTTTTTTATGTTACTGTGAATGCTGATACTCAGACACTCTAAAGTTATCGATTATTGACATACTGTAGATAGACGTATTTACCAAGAGCATCTTTAAAGGTTCTTTTAATCATTTGGAGCATTTCTATTGGCATCTGTACTTTAAGTTCTGCAACCTAGAAGCAAATAATAAAATATTTCTTTTTATCATGTTACAGATCAATATTAAATTGAGGGTAAAATTTTAACTTAGGTTGATTCTCAATTTCCTTTGTCTTCTAGCCCTAATTCATAAATAATCTGGGAAAGGCGACAAAGGAAATAGAGAGTCAACCTAAGTTAAAAAATGTTAACTTAAATATTATTTATCCATTCTCCATGGGAACTATTAAATCAGTAGAGTGCATTAGCAGTGATTAAATCCTTGCTATTGATGACATGGGGCCTGTTTCTTGAAAGTACTAGTCACTTGTTATACAAAAGCTAGAGGTAAGGTTCTAGCTAACCAACCAGACCATCTTTTGTAAAAACGATAATTATATTGCAATTATTCACTGAGAAACTTTTGAAACTTCAATCTTAAATTTAAACAAAATGGCATCTTTAAAATGTCTATTATGTTTTTTTAAGTGTCGTTATTATTTCTATTGGCATAACAACCTGAAAGCAAATTACTGTTTCTTTATTTGAACCAAAAACACATAGGCCTGTGTTTTAGTAGAGCCCAGTGGCCCCTGGCGCCTAACGTTTGTTCTTGGACGACCAGGAAATCTTAGTTTTTTCATCAAATGACATGCTGGGAATGCTAGATTTTACAGTTTCAGAGAACAGGACTCCCTCTGATTTTCCGTAGAGCATAGCCTTGTAGTGTAGAAGAAGTAGTGTTATCTCTGCTTTTGAAGTCATTGAAATGGATCTTCTTTTGTGTCTCTCAGATGTTTTCTTATTGGTGTAGATATGATGTGCAATGTAGTTGATCTGTGCTACGAGTGATACCATTTTGTAAATTTTGTGGGAATAGTAGGGGATATAATATTTGTAATGTCATTGGATGATTAAGAAGATGATCACTCATTTTGCTGTAGGTTTTACCTGCTTCAAAGTAAATTACTGTATTACATTAAGTCCGCCTTCTTTAAATGAACTGATAAACTGTTCTGGTTTTCTTCTTACAGAATTTGCTGTTTGATGAATGATGTCATCTTGTGCCATGGATGTACTTGGTGCTGACAGATTTTCTGCAAGTTTTTAAATGATCTGGCTCCTCTTATTCAGTGTGCTCGAAGAGGTAGCAGAACTATCAATTTGAGGCTGATTTACTTTTAGAAGCTTTATAGGTTTCCCTCTCTCTTGGTGGGCATAGGCAAAGCCTGTGTGACTTTGCGTGGTCGTCTTTTTGAGATTGTTCAAAAATACCTGTTTGACGTAAACAGATTTTATTTAATAGTCTAGGAGGTAGAACACTGAAAAAATCGAGACGTAGCACCCTCTACATATTTGGTCTGACATCACAAAATGGTAGGGCAATACCCATAGAACATTTTTAGGTATGATGTACTGATGTACTGGTGGGACGTCGTTGTGCTTGGGGCTCATTTGTGACTGCTGGTAAGGTCCCTGTGATTTAAGCATATCTTTAGTATCATTATTTTATACATGTTCAACTCGACATTACTCCCCTAAAGTTAAGCGTAGACAATTTTAAATTGGCTCAAGCATTACTGGTGTGAATATATTTTATATTTATGTGGGAAACAAGTTAACGAGGTTTCCATGGTAACCGTTGCTATGGTCATTTTTAATTAAGGGTATTTAAGCAATAATTAGCATTAGATTCTTTAGAATAACGACCAAACTTTTCACTTCTTTATCCATCATCTTAAGTTAATCAAACAAAACAATACTTTTGAATTTAAAGCTATTCAATTTTCAAAATAACTCATCTCTCCCTTAACAACTGCTGTTTACTACAGTGATTATGGTCAAAACTTGTTCCTTTATTTTCTCTTTTTGCTCACAATAATCTTTCACTATCTTGACAAAATCTGAACAATGTTTTCACGGTAACAACTGCCAATAAGACATTTTATAGGTGAAATCTGAAAACAGATTTTGACACCAAAATGGCACTAGCTTTGGTTTTGAAGATAGTTTTCAAATCGAATAGAGGAATGAAAAAATTGAGGACTTGAACTTTCCATTGCATAATTTAAGTATAAACTTTAAAACTGCAATATGGAATGCTAAAATTAGGATCAAAATTCAGAAATTGAATTTTGGGGGATAGTGAACGCCATAGTTTAAATACCGAAACTCCAATGTGTATTGCTGTTACTCTGATTTGGGCTTTTTTTTGGAGGCAGAAGCCTCACTTCGCTTTCTTCCTCACTGCTTTCAGTACAACTAGCCATTACCAATCATCTTAAGAAAAAGTAAAAAGGAATCATAGATTCTTTCCTCTGATCAGGAAACCTGCTTTCCTAAAATTAGCAGTGATTAACTTCTGAATTCAAAAAAGAAAACATGTCCTACGTAGTTAGTTGTTTCCTGGCCATATGTTTGAATATATGCACTTTTCAAGATAAAATTGGAGATTTTCTCTATATATTTGTGTACAGTTTCAGATAAATTGTTCTCAGCAAACCAAAATTACTGATAAAAACTTTTACAGAACGTGTTTCATTGTCAATAATTTGTACGTAACTAGATAGATTTCCTTAACAAAACAGTATTACTTATTGCCAACGAGCCATCCGAGCGAAGACGCTCGGATGGCGAGGCGGCAGCAGAATAGAGCCGCGCAAGACTGGGCTGTAGGCAGAAAAATTCTCGATCGAGCTTCAAAAAGTGTAACCTCATGTAATGTAGATTCCCCTGAGACCAAGTGCCAATCAAAACGTGGTAAACTATACTTGGCACACATGTGTTCTTTCCTCGGCGTCACGCTAAGACTGAACTTGAGTGTGGTACGCTTTTATTGTTAATTCACCTAAATATGGCCCCGGCAGTCAAGGAAAATGAAAACTTGATGCATTGTATCAATGTTGGGGGGCATTAATGTAAGGTTTTAACAAAGAGAAGGTTATAAAACAACAGTTTAAGCAAGGAAAAGTTTTCCATGTGAAACAAGCAATTCTCACCACTAAAAAGGATCAGATTACACGAAGAGATAAGGAAAGCTTGATACGAAGTATATATAGTCGCTTCTGTTGGAAAATCTGATGTCGGGGAAAAAAATCTAACCAGCAAATGGAAAAGCAAGAATAAGAAAGCATTACAAGCTTAAAGCGAACGACAAAGGAAAAGAAAACAACACTATTTTTTTCCAAACCTGTCCGAGTTTATAATAAAGTGAAAACAAAATACCGACGTGCCGTACATGTCGTACATCGCATGTCCTTGAAAATATTTCAAGCAGCGCAGCGAATCATTTTAAAATTCAATCGGGAAACAAAAAGCCTCCGGAAATTTCAGAGGAGGTTTAAATAATTAAACTGCACAAATATTTATCTACAGAGTGAAACCGAACCGAGACTAATTTTGTAGTGGTGAGAGAAACGATCATTTTTGATATTCCCCCCTAAATATTACCGATCGCTTCCTCTGCAAGCTGTTTTATAATTTCAAAAAAATATGCCTAATGACACTTTAAACTTTTATATAGCAGGTTCGTAAAGCCAATGGAGTCTGAGAACTGACTCTTCTCTGAACCTTTCTACTTGCATAGCACCTTAGTTTCAAGAAAATAATCCTTTCAACAGGAAGGGACCAAGAAACTGTCAAATGTTGGATAAAAGGAATCCATTCCTGTGCAAAATACGCATGACTTGCTCGTTGGCACTCTATCGATAGGCATACCGAGTAAATAATGGAAAGGGATGCGCTTACAAACCAAAACCTTTGCACATGGTCAGTCCTTCGCTAGCCACACGTTTAAATATTCGTAATTTTCAACATAAAAGTGGAAATTTGCTCTCTGATTTGTGCACATCTTCAGATAAATTGCTCTTAACAACATAAAACTACTCCTAAACTGAAACTGTGAAAGAAAACAACATCGAACCAAAATCCAATATGGCTGAACTAAACAGTCTGTAAGTACCAATTGCATTGTGGGAGCCTTACTCCCTTTGCACTCTGGGAAGTTTTCAATTTAGTAAGAATCGCAAACGTTATTATAAAAGTAAAAAAGACACTTGCATCGGGCAATTAGAGGTAGTTTTTGCTGAGAATCTATATTGATTCAGACAAAAATTTTCAATTGAGTCTCTTGCTAAGGGAATTTGATAAAAAAAGTGGTAGAGATATAATTACTGGGTAGATGCCGAGTTTTGGAAAATAATATTTTGATGTCACAAATACTGTTTTGTTTGATTAACTTAAGTTGATGGATAAAGAAGTGATAAGTCTGGTCATTATTCAAAAGAATGTACATTGTAATGCTAATTATCGCTTAAATAGCCTTAATTAAAAATTACCATAGCAACGGTTATCATGGAGACCTGGTTAAGAAGTTTTACACATTAAAATAAAAGATATTCACACCAGTAATGCTTGAACTAATAATTTAGAACTGTCTAGGCTTAACTTGAGGGGAGTAATGTCGAGTTGAACTTGTATAAAATAATGATACTAAAAATATGCTTAAATCACAGGGGCCTTACTAGCAGTCACAAATGAGCCCCAAGCACAATGACGTCCCACCCGTACATCACTACATCATACCTAAAAATGTTCTATGAGTATTGCCCTATCATTTTGTGATGTCAGACCAAATATGTAGAGGGTGTGCTACGTTTTTCATTTTTTAGGCCTCTTCTAGAAATCTCCTCTTAGTCTATAAACAATAGTTATAAAAATTAATAGCAGAGATCTCGTGGGCAAAGCGCGCGGAGCGGAGCACCATGGGTAAGAAAATATGGTAAACTATCCATCCGAGAAAATTTGGTAATCACGTGACCGTACACCAACCGTCCGTCCACACCACAGGCATACCAATGTAAAATACCTCAATCAAAAAGTATGGCAACCCAAATGCAACTCGAGGTTATTTTGACGGGAAATTGCATAGCCACCCGCGTCTTGTAAGGCAGAGACAACTAGAGAGTCAATGAAGACGAAAACGGAAAGCGGAAATTGTCTCTGTATCCGTGTTTTCGAAAGTATTAAGCTTAGATTAGTTGTCATGTCCACAGATTTGGAATATAGAGCAAGAGAAACACAGAGAAAAAGAGAAAGTAGGCGGGAGGCCAGCGAAGCTCAACAACAAAAAGGGTGACAAATCTAGAGTGAGAGATAGAAAACAAAGGAGACATTTTTCTGTTGGAAGAACAACGTGAAAATTTTGTAACGGCGGTGACAAAATGAGAAATGCTGGCGGCCACCAATGCAAAGTGAAAATGAGCGGCAGTGAAAAAAAAGTTAACGAGAAAACGTACATTTCCTCCATAAAACGTGTAACTAAGAAGTTTCTGGAAGTTTCACGTTGTAGTTGTGCAAAACAACGGCAAAGAAATTTACAAAAAAAGTGTGCTGCATGTGCAAAGTTGCTTTTTTGCTAATTAGACCTATTGTTGTTTTTCACCGTTCTCCGTCATTGCTTTCGCCGTTTAGCAGTACATGATTTTATATTTTGTTTTAACAAACTATAAATATTATTCAGCCTGGCCAAATCTATATATTATTAAAAATTTATATTACTTTCAATCTTTTGTGTTTGACAAAGTGGTATACGGACCGTAGAGGAAACAGTAAAATGCATAAATCCATGAATGTTGTATACCATTATTTTGTGGGCGTTTAATTTGAGAAACAAGTAGGGGTTCCATATTTACCTCAGTTTAATAGTATCTTGTTGATATTGTTCACCCAATATGAGCCGAGTAAATAACGTTCAACTTCATTTGTGAAGAAAAAAAAAGTGAAAATATGTAATGTAATGCACCTGCTCTTCAAGTTTGGTGACCGGCATTGTTGGATCCGGATCATTTTGGAGGCTCTGAAGTTGTACATGCAGGTTGTTTAATTGATGCTTAAGCTCTGCATTTTCCTCCAAAAGTTTATTTCCCTTCGCCTCCAACTTGTCGACAAAGTCAAACAACAGTGTACGATTACGTTCTGTCGAAAGTTTAAACAAATAGAAAAGTTTGTAGGCTAACGATGAGTTTGACAGAACTGATTCATTGTGATGATTTTGTCGGGAAAATCACGTTTCAACAATAGTTTCCACAGAAAGTTGGACATGCAAATAATTTGGTTTGCGTGGCTGCATGTTTGTCTCAACCTCAAGATATCTGAAACGTCAAAAAAAGCAGCAGCCTGCAAAAAAGAAACATCCTCTGGTAACTGAAAAAGTGAGGGGATTTCGGACAAATTCCTCCTGAACAGTGCAAGCTTTCGGTTTTGTCAAGCTATGTGTGCGTTGTTTAGAAAAGGTTTTCCCCTTGAGTTCGCTATCTTGAAGTATTTGCCATATGTCGGTCTACTTTCTCGCCACCGAGTCAAATTGCGCCGACACGAAGCACAAAATGTAACGATTCATCACCAAGTACTACTGTCTCTTTAATGGTAAAACATGCATATACGTCTTCGTGAAGCTCCTCTGAAACTTTGAACCAGCGAGGAGATGACTTGCAACTACACACGTAGCATTTTCGTGAAGACATTTTTAATTTTTTTAAAATTTTCCCTGGCATACAACAAGCAACAATCAAACAACAACAAAGGACGTTAAAGGAGTTTTATTGATTGAATCTTTTTGCAACACCAGTAATGCACAGAAATGCGCTGCTGCCATTTTTGGATGCGCATATTTATTTACATATCTCACTGCCTTGAATAAAAACTGATTGCCGTATGTACGTTGCCCACCTGAAACGCTCGTGGAAGATAGGAGGCATAGTTACAGTCAGTGGATGAAAGGACAGGTAGACAACAGATCGGAGTTGCCCATATATGGAGGCGATGGCATAACATTATTTCTTATGTTCATTTGTATAATTAAGAACATAGTTCATCGGCTGGATCACTGCAGCCAGAACTGGTTTGATGTTGCATCTGTAGACCTTGTCATGGTTTTCGATGCCATCTTGACGAGTAGGCAAACCCGTGAGAAATTACAGTGTTTGTATGAGAATCTAATGTCGAATAAATTCCATAAAACGGCTGTTTTAAAAAATATATGAACTGTAAACCAAAGCTTCACTCTTAAGGATTCATCTGAAAAAAATGGAGGGTGTTACATGCGCTAGAAGACCTAGAACCTTTTTTAAAATTTTCTATACATTTGTCTGTAAAAATGTTGCAGGGAAAAAATTGCCCACAAATATTTAGAAAACTAAAGCAAGCTTCTGGAGAAATTTAAGCACAGTAACGGCCCCCAAAATTTGTGGGTAAAATCCTTTGCTGTGTAGCTTTAGTTCACAGTTCATATTTTTTCCAGAACAGCCGTTTTACGAATTGTGAGTTATTTACAAATTACAGACGGTTAGCTACCTCAAGAGAGTGGTTCTCACCTCACTTAAACTAGCAGATTGTGCAGCAGCATCGTGGTGATCAGCGGCCATCTTTGTCACACGGTCGTGAACACGTCTGTTGTCATCTGGTTTGTTGGGAGCGGAGAAGGTCTCCTGAGTCCACTCCACTGGGAAGTCTCTTGACCGACTCTCGACCACCATTTGAGCAGGGGTAGGTCAGGTCAATTGAGCCCACGATCTCCAGCGGTTGATGCCCAGCGGGTAAAAGTCTAATTCGAATAGTTGAATGTCGAATGTGGAAACTTGCTTACTAGTTGTTTGGCTTCATAAGCAAGCAAATTGGTTTCAAAATTCCTGCTTTTGGCCAAGCTGGTCCATACATAAGGCCATGTTGATGTACTTTTCTTCGTGTTATTTCCTTATATCTAAAGTTTCCTAGTTTGAAAGTCAATTGATCTGTAGCACCAAATCCAGAAGTTCCGTCTGGAAGAAAAACCTCTTTCATGGCTTCTATCAGCTCTGCTGATGTCACCTGGAATGGAAATGATACTTCTCTCATTCCTCTCCCTGTTACCATGTGTACAACAACATAACGCTTTTTCTCTATCACTGAATTGCATCCAGCCCATTTGGATCTTTTTAGAATGTTACGTTGCGGGTGGGCTGACTTCCCTGCTGACTGAAATTTTACCTTGCAGCCGTGAGAGCCTGTTGTCTTTTTGCTAACTCAGATGCTAACTTAGACGCAAGTTGGTTTTTTAGTTCTTCTTCTTATAACTGAATCATCCTCATACTGAACTAAAAACCACTTTCTCACACACCACTGGTAGCCTTGCCAAGCCGACCGCCGCAGCCTGACCTTTATTTTAAACTCAAAAAATGCATACATACCACAACCTTAGAAACGTAGGACGCTAACAAAACTACAAAGTTGCACCGTACATTTAACGGCATACAAAACTGAAATCTTAGGGTGGGTGCGTAGGAAGGTCAGTAATGGCGGACGCAACAAAAGCAACTGCCCGCCCTTCAGTCACATGACCTATACCCAGGCTCCCAGCCGTGTGTGAGAAAAACATTTTCCACTTAATTCATTACACTCAGCCAGTGGAAAATTACCCTTCTCACACACCACTGGCAGCCATGCCAAGCCGACCGCCGCAATGCACAAAGCACAGAGCAGCAAAAAAAATACATTCTCAGAGTCCTAGAACTAGAAAACAACTATAGCATAACAGGACAGAGAATAAACTGGCCCACTGAATTACAACGGAGTGGAAAAATGAGCTAGGTATCATGCTCGACTTGTCTGGACACAGTTCATGCTAAATGTTCCCCCCAATACGATATCGCTTAAAGTCTGATAAATTTGAACAAGGTGGAAATTAAGCCATAAATGCCTAATCAGTTCTCGAGCCTGAATTGTATTAGTAACTGTTAACAGTGACTCCATGGACTCCTGAATGTAATTTTTTTTAGACCTCTCACTACGCCATTCCCCTTGCCTTTGGAATAGCCGATCAGGTACACCAAGGGCTGCTGCTGCTGATGCTCCTCCGGCCCTAAGACTGTTGACTCCATACAGCTTAGGGTCCAACTCTTCCTTTTGAAGCTCACGCTTTATCAGCTCACTTGCTCGACTGTACGACATGGGCTCCTTTCTGAGTTCCATCTTACTTCTCAGTATGCAGAATCCGGCAAAATAGCCTTGAATTCTTCACATGACTGCCAACTTTCAAAAATTTTTCAACTACCGCAGCCGGGCAAGGAGATGAACTACCTCTGTTTTCCACTTATTGAGGATCAGAAACTGCAATGTTTTCTGAAACTAATAAATTATACAAGATGCGTTGAATAGACCCATGAGTTTTTAATACAAATTATTATAGCAATGTTAGTGCACACCCAATTTTTTAAAAAGATGTTACTATTCAGGAGGAGATGGAAGTGATTCAGTTTACTACAAAGGAAGGGATATACGTAATTTGCAAGTTGCTGATAATAAAAGAAATTAGTAAAACAAACAATAGTCAACATCTGGTCCCATTTTATGTTCATATTGACTTATTTACACTGTTTATTTTCATTTTTTGTCTTGATCAGATCGTGACTTTCTTCAATGCTGTCTTTTGTCTTCTTTATAAACATTCTGCATTGATCAATAATAATCAATATTTGTATATGATGCAAGTTATTGTGTGTGCATATGAGAGCACTTAATATACCATGAAAACAAGCTAATACGAGCATCATCACAGGTGCAAGAATCAAATTGTCGCATTTTTCTTGTGCTTATGTGACAATAATTATGTAATTAACGAGAGAAAATAAAATATTAAGCAAAAGGTGATCCACCAAAATCACTGTCACACCTAAACTGTAAGCTTAATTGTGCCTTCATGGGAATTTCATGGGCTGGTTAGAACTTTCATTACCCATGAAATCCATGCTGGGCTGTACAACTGCCTTTTCAGGGGTCATGAAATGTATCGGTCTGAATATATATATATATATATATATATATATAATATAGTAATATAATGAATTGAAGATTTCATCAGCTATTAAAGTGCTCTATAGGTAAACTAGAGCGATGTGTAGATTTGCAGAGTTGGATTATTTGGTCGAAGACATTTATTGCTACTCAGAGTTTCATGCTCCTTGCCGAGCAATCATCAGGCAACTGCCAAAAATAACGGATACATATGAAGATGTACAAAATTTGAAAATACAGAACAATGCGTAGTGGCGTGACATGCAGAAATATGATTGGTTGCTAAGCGAATACGTTCTTCAAGAGGAATTTCTTAGAATGTCTACAATTAGATATCAGTTCGCTTCTGTTGTTCAGGGTTGACATTTCGGGTTTACAGATAATAAAATGTTTTTCCCATAAACACAAGTTACATCTCTTGCTTATACTAGAATATGATCGGGCCTGTTTTACCTTTCGCCATTTGATGTTGTACGGAATACCCTTATCTTTAAGACTCCAAATATATTTACTTAATTCAGTTGCATGCTCATACCGCTCGTTCTTAAATGAGCACACGTGGTTTCTGTATCTCAACTTAAAGGTTGTATCGCAAAGACCAATGTATGTCTCTCTTGAACATGGTGTCGTGACTTTGGCTTGGTAGATCATGTTTTGATCGTTGCATTTACCGTCCATGGGGCACGTGCTTGAGTTCCGGCAGTTACAATTGCTGTCATCGGTGGTGTCATTAATAGGATCAGATTTGTTAATTTGAGCTTTGTTGTGGTTGGATATAATGGTTTTGACATTTGGCATACAACTGTAGCTTAATTTAAGCGTGTTCCTATTGAAAATTTTTTGAAGTGGGTGTGATTTAGGGAAGTGTTGATCAATGAGAGAAAGGAAGCACTTTCCTACATTTGTTTTAACATTTTTGCTAAAAGGTGGATGGTACCAAAGAATGTTTCTTGGTTGGTTCTTCCGTGACTGCTGTTTCTCGTTACGTGACTCATTGTAAGACAGGTTGTAATTGTAACCGCTTTTATTGAGGGCTTCTTGATACACGGCTTTGCTGTTGTCAAAGCATTGTCGATCCGATGATATTTCTGAAAGTCGTTTATTGATGGCATCTGGGATGTTTTTCAGGATAGATGGCGGATGGTTGGATTTCTTGTGCACGTACAATGGGAGGTTACCTTCCTTTGTGTATGGAAAGTGTTTGCCGGCCTGCAGGTCAAGCGTGACGTCTAGAAAATGTACAATGGATTTGTTTGCTTCTATCGTTATCTTTAAGCCATTTTCACGGAAAATCTTGCACAGCTCTTTTTGTTAAAAGCTGCTAGACCATCGTCGCGATAGAGACCGATGTTTTGGCCATACTTGTCGGTGAGAAGGGATAACAGGTAGCAGCCGACCAATTCACCTGTTTCAGCACCATCAAAAGAACCCATGGTGACATCGAAAAGATCGTTTGAAGATTTTTTCTCCCATATGGAATCATTGCTGAACAACAGCGAGCGTTTTGCGTGTAAGATGATGTCACGCTCATGACTGCTAATGGGTTTCGATCACATTCAGTGATCTTCTTCAGGGTGACTAACTAGCCGTTAACGTACAGAACTTTTAAATTGCTGAATTACGAAGGTAATGCGCGCGCGCATCACAACTGAAATGACTGTTATTTTAAACGTGTAACGGAAAATGTCACAGATGACACTATCATCTCCTGCGCGCGCCCGCGCGCGTGTTGCGGTTCTGGGCGTAAAAACCATCATCCTCATTACGTCCTTGTGCGATTATCGGAGGCGAAACGAAGAGTGGAGGCCAAGTGTATATTCAAGGTTATACAATTTAATTGTTAAAGGAGATTACATAAGCAGGGCCTAAGGTCAACTGAACTATTGTACAATCATATCGGGATATATAAGTCGAGCGTGGTTGCTAAGTAAGAGGATTAAGGGCTAATCCCACATCCCCCTTTCTAGACATTTTGGTACTTCTATAAGAATGTCTCTGCGCAAAGTTCTTTAATGATAGGAAGCGAGTCAATCAAGAATTTCGATCACGAAACGAATCACTTATAACAAATGTTCTTTCAGTCCTAATCAAAACCTAATCTCTTGGGCGGGTTAACTTTTCTTCCGGAACGAGTAGTGTTTCCAGGAACGGGAACTGGAATAGAAGACTTTTGAGCAGACCGTAAAGCATCTTTCTCCTCTGCTGGAACAGGTGGCTGATCCTTAGAAGTTTCAGGAGGATCGGGTAAAGGGCTTCCTGCTACGTACTTTGCTTCTTTAGGATTTGGATTGAGCTGCCGTCTGTTTCTTCGAACAGTTGCGTTACTGTCAGTGTCGAGGTAATAGGAACGTGGCTCAGGTGTTTTGGCTACTACCACCGCGTTCTCTTTACGATCAGGGATATAAACACGATCGCCTGGTGACAGATGACTCAGCTCTTTAACTGCATGTCGTCGGTTGTAATCTTTTGTTTGCTCGGTCTTAATCTTGGCTTCCTTTTCACGCAATTTCGTTAACTCAGGCCATTGCGGTGTTAGTTTAGATGGGGTAGTTGGAAGGGTGGTGCGTAGTCGCCTTCCCATGCATAATTCAGCTGGGCTGAATCCGTTTTCAAGTGGGGTAGCTCTGTAAGCGAGTAGTGCTTCATGTGGATCGTCGGATTTTGTAAGGAGGTTTTTAGTTGTTTGCACCATACGTTCGGCTTCTCCGTTGCTTTGGGGGTATTTTGGACTGCTGGTAATGTGTGTAAATCCCCAGTCTTCTGCAAATTTGGCGAATTCCGCTGAGGAATACTGTGGTCCGTTATCGGAGATCACTGTTTCTGGAATTCCATGGCGCGTGAAAATCGCTTTTAGGTGATTGATCACTTCTTCGGGGGTGAATTTTCGAAGTACTCCAATTTCACAATATCCCGAGAGGTAATCTACCACGAGGACGAATTCTTGTCCTTTCCATTCGAATAGATCGGTTCCTACTTTCTGAAATGGACGCTCGGGTAACTGTGAAGGAATCATGGGCTCTGCACGATTAGTTTTCGTCTTGATGCAAGTAGGGCATTCTCTGACAAGATCTTCTATCTGCTTGCTGAGATTCGGCCACCAGACACCACTTTTCGCCCTTTCGCGGCATTTCTGGATGCCTTGATGACCTGTGTGTATCTTGTCTAATACATCGAGCCTTAACGCTGAGGGAATTATGACTCTGTCGTCTTTCATTAGGATTCCCTGCTGAACAGTGATTTCTGCTCTGTACTGCCAGTACGGTTGGAGTGAACAATTCAGGTGATGTTTCTCTGGCCAGCCTTCACTGCAGAACAGCTTAAGCTTTGAGCAAACTTCATCTTCATCCTGATGAAGGCGTATTTCTTGCAAGCGGCGCTCTGTAGTCGGCAGGCATTCTACTATGTGTGAGACATAGAGGTTTAAATCTTCATTAAGTTGCTTCTCGTCTTTCGTGAGACTTCGGTGAAGCGGCGCTCTTGATAAGGTATCAGCTGTGGTGAGATCTTTTCCGGGTACATGGACTATTTGGTACGAGTAGCGCATCAGTCGCATCCGGAACCTCTGAATACGTGGTGGCATGTCCTGGAGACATTTAGATCCTAATAACGGCACCAACGGCTTGTGGTCCGTTTCAATAAGGAACTCTTTACCGAGGACAAAGTCGGCAAACTTTTCGCAAGCCCAAGTAGTTGCGAGTGCTTCTTTCTCTATCTGAGCGTATCTTTGTTCAGTAGACGTCATAGAGCGCGAAGCGTAGGCGATTGGCTTGTTTGTCTCATCCTCTTGGACTTGTAAGAGGACTGCTCCTAATCCATACGATGAGACATCTGCAGAAATAATAGTTTCTTTCTCGGAGCAGTAATGAGCGAGAACTGGCGCTTGAGTCATTTCTTTCTTCAAGCAAGAGAAAGATTCTTCTTGAGCTTGGCCCCAGTGCCATTCGTTCTTGCTTGAAAGAAGATCGCGAAGCGGCATAGTCTTCTCGGACAGGTTTTCGATGAACTTCTGTTGGTGGTTGATCATTCCCAGGAATCTTCGTAGTTCTGCAACATTTTGCGGTCTCTCCATCTTTTCGATAGCTGCAGTCTTGTCTGGATCGGGGCCTATTCCTTGAGCACTGAGACTATGGCCCGCGAACTTCAATTGTTTCCTTGAAAATTTGCACTTCTCTGGGTTCAGGGTGATTCTTGCTCTGATCAATCTTGTTAAAACTGCTTCAAGTCGTTCATCGTGTTCTTTTTGCGTCTTTCCATGCACAAGGATGTCATCCATAATGCATATCACTCCTTCCAAACCTTCCAGCTCGTTTAGCATTCTCTTTTGGAATCGTTCTGGTGCTGATTTTAAACCAAAGGGAAGTCGCTGAAAACAATATCTGCCAAAGAGAGTCAGAAACGTAGTCAGGAGTTGAGAGTTTTCTGCTAGCTTCTCCTGCCAAAAACCGGAATTTGCGTCAATTTTTGTGAACACTGTGGACTCTCCAATCTCCCCTAGCAAGGCGTCAATCTTTGGAAGTGGATACGTTTCACGGCAAACGTTTTCATTTAGCCTTGTCAGATCCACACATATTCGGAGTTTCCCGTTTGACTTAGGTACGGTGACCATTCCAGCGCACCAGTTTGTAGGCTTGTCAACCTTTCTGATTACTCCCAGCTTCTCCATTCTAGCAAGTTCTTCCTTTACTTTGCTTTTCATTGGTAATGGAATACGTCTTGGGGTCATGATTGCAAACGGTTGAGCGTCTGGCTTCAACTTGATTTCATATTCTCCCTCAAGTTCTCCCAGTCCATGGAACAGTTGAGGGTATTTCGCTTTAATCCTTTCTTCGTAACTTTGACTTTGGATTTCATTGATTCTAGCCAATAAATTTAGCTTTTCGATCGCTGGCTGTCCCAGAAGAGGCTCTTTTAAACCTTTGACAACATAAATATCTTCCGTCACGCACGTTTCTCCCAGGGATAAAGTATCACGAACTGTGCCCATTACACAAAGACCAATGTGATCGGCTCCAAAGAGTCTTTTGGAGGTGGAGTGCAGTTTTCCTAAATTGCATTGGCGAAAAACTTCTTCAGGAATAACTGTGACATCCGCGCCGGTATCAATCTTGAAATTTATTTCGGAGTTTCCTATTAATAGATTGGTACGCCATTTCTCTGATGTTTCGATTGCGTTGACAACCTCATTGACGGTCATTACAGAGATATCATCTTCGTCCAAATCTTGGCCAACCCTATGGACTCGTTTTGAAGATTTGCAGACCTTGGAATAATGACCCTTTTTGTTGCATGCGTTGCAGGTAGCATCTTTGGCTGGGCAACGCTGAGGAGGGTGACCTGGCTGAGCTCCGCATCTGTAACACGATTTTTGCTTCGTTTTCGAAGAACTTCCAAAATGCTTGGGTTTTGGACTTCGACGTTTGTTTTCTGGAACTTTCCTGTCATGTACTTCCGATATGTCGGCGGCACTTGAGTTGTTTTGAAGAATTTGATCTTGATGTTTCGTGATTTCGGCGGATTTAACTTCTTTAATTACTTGATCCAGAGTTAAATTGTCATTTGCCATCAATCGTCGCCTGAGATGAGAATCACGCAAACCAGCTATTATTTGAGTGTGCACCATTTGGTCACGAAGGTCCCCAAAAGAGCAGAGGTCGGCTCTTTTCTGAAGGTCTTCTATAAAGGTGAGGACAGATTCTTTGTCTTGCTGAAAGCGTCTTACGAACTGTGTTCTCTCAGACTAAGGCGACTTTTCCTTTAAAATGATCCTTGAATTTTTGTTTGACGTTTACGTACAGGATATCTTCCCCTATTAGTTTGAAACTGTCATAAATGTCGGCGGCATTATTCCCCATTACGTAAATAAGCGTATTGATGCGCACTTTATCTGACAGCTCATCACGTTCCGTAGCTGCTTCAAATAATTCATATCGCTTGATCCAGTGGTCCCAATCGTCTGTTTTGGGATCAAACTTAGCCGGAGGAGGAATATTAAAATTGGCTGCGGCCATTTTCACGCTTCCACTTTGTGGGTTATGCGTCTGTATAGAGCCCGTTGTAGAACTCGTTTCCCCAGCGGCTGTGGGCGGTGACGTGACTGGCGTGCTTGGCGTGCTTGTTTCCTCGATTCTTTCTTCGTTTGGACCTTCAGCGTTGGAATTCATTCACACGATGTGAAATACAGTGGCGAAACAAATTTCTTTTCCGCTACTTCTTGTTCCTGCTGTAGGATCCCACTTCTGACACCATGTGCGATTATCGGAGGCGAAACGAAGAGTGGAGGCCAAGTGTATATTCAAGGTTATACAATTTAATTGTTAAAGGAGATTACATGAGCAGGGCCTAAGGTCAACTGAACTATTGTACAATCATATCGGGATATATAAGTCGAGCGTGTTTGCTAAGTAAGAGGATTAAGGGCTAATCCCACAGTCCTTGAGGGCGCAGCGTTCCCAATCTATACATCCACTGTCCCTCCTTCTGATGAAACTCCCTCTCTACCATGGCTCTGTCTATTAACTGTATAGTTAAATGGCTTAATCCTAAGTGTCCCGAACTATGAAAATGCTGGTAAAGAAAATCATCATTCCTCTTATTTTCAGAAGACAACTTGAGATGGGCATTGATCCTACTTCTGTGATTATTGAACCTAGACCGAAAAGTAGTGGTAGTGGATCCAACATATTGAATGCCACATACCTTACAAGTAATAAGATAAACCACGTTTTTGGAGTTACAATTTAAGTTGTAATTAATACGGAATTCCTTCCCATTGGTTTTGCTGCGGAAAGTTCTCCCCACACACAGAAAAGTACAAATTTGGCACCGATTACTACCACACTTTAATGTTCCTGTTACCTCTTCCTTAGCGGCTCTCCTAAACTTTGCTCGAACCAAGAAGTCGGAGAGGCATTTTGGTCTTCTGAAAGCAACCATTGGCACCTCTTTAATGGCATCCCGGCATCTCTGCGAAGAGTGAAGAAGCGGATGTAGGTTCCTCAACATGCCTCCGATGTTAGGCAGACCCAGGTGGTACGTCACTGTGAAGGGAATCCGGGTATTTTCCTTTCTTGGTTTATCCCTCAATGCTTCATCTCTAGGTGTTTGTCTCGCTCTATTTACTTGTTGTTGTATGACATTCTTCTCATATCCCCTTTCTTCTAAAAAACTACACAAATCCCGCGCTCTGCTTTCAAAGAAAGTCTCCTTGGAACAAATCCTCCTCAAACGTAATGCTTGTGCATAGGGAATCCCTTTCTTGCAAGAGTTCGGATGACACGACACCCAGTGGAGATACTGATGGCTATCGGTGGGTTTGATGTAAACATCCGTCTCCAGTTTTCCCGATTCATTCACGACTTTAACATCTAAGAATTCAACTTCTTGATAAGACCATCTTGATGTAAACTTGATCGTTCTATGCGCACCATTTAGATAATTAATAAAATCTTTAAGACTTCCCCCCCCTTCTGTCCAAATTATAAAAATATCATCAATATACGGCCACCAAGTATGGGGTTTTATTAAAGCGTTTGAAATCAACTGTCTTTCCAGTTTGTCCATAAAAATGTTAGCATACGACGGTGCCATCCGAGTCCCTATCGCAGTGCCTAGTTTCTGGACAAAATGCCGCTCATCAAATTCAAAATTATTGTTTTTAAGAACTATTTCTGTAAACTCTACCAAGTCGTTCTTGAGATCCCTTAGTTTCCTCCCATTCTCCACATTGGAATCCCATGTTAACAACACCTTAAATGGTAGTCCACAAAGCTAGAAATTTTTTCCGTAGGCGTGTTGCAACCCGATATAACCGTACGTCCAGGGCAGCCCTTCTTGTGGAGTTTGGGTAGCAAATAAGACCCTCCGGCCCTCTCGTCTCCTGAAGCCAACAAATAGTCTTTAGTTATCATGTAGATAGATACGTAGACTTGAACTAGGTCAAAAACATTTACTTGCTACTCAGAGTTTCATGCTTCATGAGAAGTAATCATCAGGCAACTGCCAAAAAGAAGCAATACATGGTGTTTTATAGTGATTTATAGTGATTTTGAAAAAAACGGTACCGATTCATAATAGGCTGGGTTGCATAGCAACGGATAAACAATTTCCAGTAAACCGCTGAAAAAGAAAAAATAAAATACGTCTTACAGGCTTAAATAATCACGTTACTTAGAAGAAATTTCTTTGCATGTCTGCAACTTGATACGAGTTCATTTCTGTTGTTCAGGGTCGCCATATTCGGTCTACAAGTTATATAGTACTTCTCCCACAGACATAAATTACACTTCTTCATTACATTTGAATAGGATCTTGCATGTCTAATGTTCCGCCATCTAATTTAGTAGTCAGTTTTCTTGTCTTTTAAGCCCCATACATACCTTCTTAGCTCAGTGGAATTTCTATAACGTTCATTTCTAAAGGAGCAAGTGTGGTTTCTGTAACGCGATTTGAATGATGTGTCACAAAGACCAATGTAAGTTTGCTTCGAGTGCAATGTCGTGACTTCTGCTTGGTATATGATATTCCGCTCGTTGCAATTTCCGTCCATAGGGCAGGACCTTTGGTCGCGGAAGTTGCAAGTGTTGATAGTTTGAACTGGTAAGTTTGATGACCTGCTAATGCCGGCTTTATTGTGGTTCGAGATAATGGCTTTTACGTTGTTCATGCAGCTATAGCTAAGTTTGAGAGTGTTCCGGTTGAGAATTTTGTGCAGAGGATTTGATTTGGGAAAGTGTTTGTCGATTAAGGTGGGGAAGCACTTTCCAAGTTTGGTTTTGACATTTTGGCTGTACGAAGGATTGAACCAGGTGATGTTTCTGGGCCTATTCTTTCTTGTTTGGTGTCTGGGGAAGGTTTTCTTTAGGTGATATTGTAATTGTAGCCGCTCTTGTTGAGGGCATCTTGGTAAGTACCTTTAGCGTTTTCATAGGATTCCTTGTCGGAAGAAATTTCTGAGAGGCGCTTGTTCCTTATTGTTTATCCGTTGCTATGCAACCCAGCCTATTATGAATCGCTACCGTTTTTTTTCAAAATCACCCTAAATCACTATAAAACACCATGTATTGTTTCTTTTTGGCAGTTGATGATTGCTTCTCATGAAGCATGAAACTGTGAGTAGCAAGTAAATGTTTTTGACCTAGTTCAAGTCTACGTATCTATCCAAAGCTCTGGTAAACCCATTGAGCACTTTTTAGTTGATGATCAATTTGAATTTCGTCATTTCATTTTATATACATATATATATATACATAAGTGAAACTCGTGTTCATTTATTTCTTTCTTTCACTGGTTTCAGTTCATTTGTGTCATGTATAGTATTAAAAAGGTGTTAGCACCTTCCAGTGGCCTCTGTGAACTCTAAAAAATTGTTTGGGGAGTCCCGTGAGCCATAAAGCCTTCAATTCGACTGCGCGTTAGCGTGGTTGTCTTGGTGGTGTAGTGGTTAACACATCGGCACTAGAAAGTCGAGGACGCGGGTTGAAATCCCGTTCAAGGCAATTTTTAGAGTTTCACTTGTGTTCATTTATTTCTTTCTTTCACTGGTTTCAGTTCATTTGTGTTATGTATATATATACATACATATATATGACCTTCATGACCCATAAAATCTATATTCATGGCTTTGTAAACTTTTCATGGGTCCTGAAAAGAACTGGTAAAGAATTTCATGGAAATTTCGTGACTTAGGTTAGCACCATGAAATCTGAAATCACTGTTTTCATGGGCATGAAAAAGGGTTCGTGGGTTTTCCAACACATTTTCATGGGATTTGCATGAAAAAGAGATTCGTAGTGATGGCTGAGTTGTAAGAAGACTCAGAACTGTAGTGAGCTGCATCTCTTTTGTGATTAAGAGTGTCTAGTCCTGCATCAGTCTTTATTTTCCTTCGACACTACACTGACTAGATGTTTGCATCCTAAGTGAAAACCAGGCATATGCACTAAGCACTATCTGAATCCTTGTTCTGTAGATATTATTACATAATGTTAACTATTATCACAGGCAAAGAAGGTTCAATACTTACTAGTGATCACAGCCGGCACGGCTTGCACTGCATTAACTTGCTGCTTAAAAAAGCAATAGAAAAACTTAGGGCGTATGTGCTAAAATTTACCATTTTTTTCAATAATCACGAGAGGGGAGGGGATTTAATACAAAATTTTAAAATTGATATTAATTAGGTTATTTAATTTTTCCTCAGTTATTTTACAATACACATTTTGATCACAGGACAGCAAAGGTATACTGCAAATATATTAATACATTAAGCATTACAAAATTACTCTGAGTACAGCAACCACCATCATTATGTAACTAAAGCGAAATAGATGATGAGTTTTCTTATTTGTCAATTTAATGATGAACGATTAAAATGTTAAATGTGCATAAAAAATATATACCTTTTCAGCTTCCACCCGGCCAGAAACTGCAATGTTTTGTACACGCTAAATAGATAGCTTTAAGCTGTTTATTCTGAAAAGGTAATTAGCTTGTGTACATAAAAAAGTTGGATAAAAAAAATTATAATTATTATAACTTACCCTGAGCAGTTTTGTCATTTTCTCCTGGGGTAACATCAGTCACTTCGTCACATTCTGGCTGATTGGTTTCTATAAAGGTACATTAAGGAAACAAATTCCAATAATCAAGTCAATTTTGACTATACAATGAAAAACAATGTATAGATAGAACATAGAATCATTTTAATAAAAGACAATTTCACTCTCTTTGTTGCACGGTAAATAAGCTGAATTGGCAGTTGGTTTTGTTTATCGTTTTGTTTTATTTTGTTTAACTATACATAATTATTAAATAATATTAATTCTGGCTCAAGTGTTGTTGGCTAGATAAAAATCTTATGAATAAAAGTAAAATCATTGATAAATTATTTATACATGCCTGTGACTTTTTTGGTGCTCTTCTTTATATTTCTTAACCCAAGCTCTATAAATTTGTGATGAAACAAAAAATACACGTTTTTTACTAAGTTGTACAGAATTCTGATATAATTGTGTTACTAATCCCTGGGATGAATACAGAGTTAAAAGAGGATAAAAATTATATGAGATATTGCACTTTAAATCTTTCGGTGTGATGTCTTATCATGAAATGCCTGTATATTATAGTATGCCTCAAAAACATGTGGTTTACTTGAAAGCTTTTCAATTGATATAGAAATGCAATTTCAGTAATATTATATTATAATAAAAACAAAGCACTTCTTCCACATCAAAGAAAGAAACTCTGTGACTAAACGTACTTTCATGAAGTGCAGCTATATCTTCTGAACGAAACCATCCCTGCTGAATGTGAGCTGCATGCACTTGTCCCTTGCTTCCTCTAAAGCGAACTAATGTTCCCACACAACCAATTCCATTCCCTTTTATGTACTGCCTCAAAGCACCAGCAGTTACTCCATTTGTATGGAAGGGACCAAGCACTTCCTTTACATAGTATAATGCCGACTGCACACTGAATGCAACACAACGTCCACAGCAGCAACTACTTGGGCAGAAGTCCTGATCCAAAAACTGAAGCACCTTAACAAAGAGACATAGTCGTAACATTAATGACTTACGAGTTCAAAGAGATCAATAGTACAGCCACTTGATACACAAATAATAGAGAGCTTAGATTTGAGGATGAGAATGAGTACAAGTCAGTAGGAGATTCAACTATAAGATTTTGTGGGTGTTTCTAAAAGACAACAACACCATCCTGGAAAGCTTCATTTTACTTTTTTTTCACCAAAAACTTAAGCACAGTTAATATTGAAGGAGGTTTAAAGCCCTTTCCCGATAGTAAAATGTTAAAACTTCTTACATTTGATAACTTGTTCTTGCTACTAAAAT